CTTGGTACATCCTCAGACGGTTCACCGGCATCGTCAATGAGTCTTGCCACTCTCAGTACTAAGCTACAACACGTTAGAGACAGTTGAAGTCAATCCTTTGACCAACTTTCTTCCGAAACGGTTGTCCTCTTTCTGTCTTAGCTCTCTATCTACCCCCTACCCTCTTGTCTCACTCTCTCCCTATCACAACTTCTAGCTTGTTTATATTCAACTAATCAATATATGTGCTATTGAGGTTGGGGGGTTGGAACGGAGTGAAATCGGTCAACCAGAAAGATAAGACTATCTACAGTACCATGAGGGAGATCAGGATAGGATTCCCGAGTAAGATCGGCTAATCGAAAAGGGAGCAAGGTGAACAGCAGATGTGATGACGCCCCAATAAACTTATCAAAAAATACACACCCTTTAACGAATGAAATGTAAACAGGTCAGAAGTTGTGATAGAGAGGTATATAAAAAGAGTAAGAAGTAGATAGATGGGCCAGACCAGAAAGAGGAGCGATAGCACAACCGTTTCGGCAGAAAGTTTGTTCAAGGGATTGATTTTACTAGTTTCTTACGAGTAGTTGAATTATAAGACCGGCGAAACGTCTGAGGATGTACCAAGTCCACAGCCCGACGATTGGAAATATGATAACTACTATAACAGAGGACTTCGGATAAGGTGCGTCCAACGAAGTCGCCCTAACAAAATGACCAAGTTGAGAAAACGAGGTCAGACTACATCCATCAATCTAAGAGTCTCGATATAGTGAAGTGATATGAATAGACGATAATCTTTGGATAACCCATTAAGCAGCTTACAAATCAAACCACCATCAGCAACCAAGTGACAATTAAGCTTTGGGGGGAAAAATGAATAAAATCAGCTTTGGAACAGTATGAACATCAGAAGTAATAATTAGTATTCATTTTAAAAAGGTTTATGAAAAAAATAAAATTTTGAGATTTAACTCACCTGGTGCAAGAGCTCACTAAAACTAGCGCATTTGTGCCGTTTGTGGCAGTAAGAGTTTTGGGATCGACAATTGGGGGAAGTCGGCGTTTCCTTCGTCTGCGTTTGCGATGGACAGGAAGCTTTAACTGTTCGAAAGGATGGTCATATATTCAAGAAAGAAAATAGGAGGATCGAAAGGAAGTGTAAATGAACAGATGAGAAACTAAGTCCAATATCAACAAATTTGGCCATCAGCGAGCAGTCATTTGAAATATAGAAAGGGACATGAATGGGTATCAGATGTAAACCAAAAGCACAACATCTAAATAAATAGAAAATAATAACTAATAGAAACAAGAGACGTCTGAAAGTCTAATTGCAAGAGGGATATAATAAAAGTAAAATATTGAGATATAAGTAGCATGAATTTATCGACTCAACAAATGAAATCCTGGTATAAAAAGGATAAAGCAACTCAGAAACCAGAGCCATTAGATACTTCGAGGCAGTTGCTTTACTATTACAAAAAATAGTCTATAAAAAATAGATGCTCTTGAACACGTCCACGAGATCGTCGTAGCTGAAGCAGTTTGATTTAACTATAGATGGCCCTATAACTTAAACTTTTATAATAATGACTGCAATCTAAGGCATCTTACAACTAAGTGCCTACCTGAGTTTGGACAGACGAGCGATCGGACGTGGTTTCAGAATATGCAAGTTCGTGAGAGTCTGTGGCATTTGCATCAGATTTAGAAGTCACTGCTGCAACAGATTCGGGTGAGAATGGAGGTATTGGTTCTGTTCTGGAAGTTGGCAATGGCGGAACGGGTGGGGTTATTGATGGTGCCTTGAGGAGGTCGATTTTGGTGAGCACCAGGATGAGATGAAGATCAAGAGCAATAGCCAACTGAGCGTGTTGTAAAGCAACCTGTGTAATTCCTGTCGTCACCGGGACGACCAGCAAAGCATAATTCGGTTGTCCACGACAGAGGCCTGCCAATGTTGTACGTTGGTAGCGGCGATCACCAGCAAGATCAAGCAAAGTGATTAGACGACAAGAAGAGCGAATAACCTGGAAAAGAAGTTGTCATAAGATTGGCAACCAATTATCTTAGTCAGCACAACCAATAAGTATAATAAATGCAAATAGCATAAGGTACAGTGCTGGAAGCACAAGTGCAGAAATGGAAACTTTTAAATGAAACCCGACCGTTTGAGTGAATTAGCAATGCGATGCTATTCGATAGACTGCCCAAACGCCAATGAGTTAAGGGGTGTATTTTACTCCTTGAACGAGAGAGACCTCTCAAAAACACGACGATCAGAGACACTAACAAAATGGGTAGCTTAAAGAAGCGATCAACGTACACTACTGTTCTAATAGATATATAATGTAAGAGTAGTGACAAAGCCCAACTACACCGGTTCAGTCATTATACGCTATACCTGACATATTCCTTGAATCAATCTTATTTCTCTTTTGCTCATCGGGCTATCTCCAGAGATCTCAGACACGGCTAATAAAAATATTTAACTAAAACCAATGTGAAATCGCATAGTACCGCTCCAAAATATCGATACTAATGACAATTTGAAGATGTCCATCTTGCATCAAATGCGTCCTATCAGTCACAGGAACTCAGAAAATGAAGTCAAAGAGAAGCATATTAATATGACAGTAAAGAAGGTACCGGATCGCGTAGTAGATACCGATGAAACCTGAAGGAAGTACATTCTAAATAGGAAAGGATTCCAGAATCAAAATACAATGAAATTAATTGGCAAAGTAAGGCTTTATCAATTCATAATAGGAAAACTAACTGTTAGGTCTTTGACCCCAAAAGCTACCAAAAGCGGATACTCGTTATAAAGTAGGCCTGATGGTAGTTTAAGAAGGAAGAAAATAAGCACAAAATACTTAACTTTGGGAAAAATGGTAATAAACTGACTCAAAATACTTAGGTGTTTATCCATGTCATCTCAGGTGAGCTTGCCAGTACTTAAACCCACTAATAAAACATAAGTGATCTGAGCTTAAATGTTAACCTGTCTTGCATCCAGACTAACCAGGCAGGGCACAATGTTAAGAAGGCAAGCAGCAAAGAAGTGGGCATGACTCGATCAAATAAATTGGCTGCTCATGATGTGTTATATATATATATATATATATATATATATATGTATATATACATCAATCATCTCAATGTGAAATTTTCAATTATAAATCCTCAAATATTTTTCGTTTACAAGCAGGTTTTCGAGACCATCATCTGATATGAGCTGTATTCACTCTATTTCGTTTAGAATGATGAAGGACTGGTAGTTAAATTTTCCCACAATGATATGAGTAGGCTACATGTTTCAATTTAACTTAACGTGGCCTTACTTCACAAAAGGTATTATCATCCAAAGTGGACTCGAATTTCAACTTCGCCTAGGTCTCATCAGCATCTTCAATGGCACTCGAAATCAGGTAGTGCAGATTATAATCTCGACAAGTTGACCATTACTCCACGCTGCTATGAGTCACCCTGAGTCACAGAGCATCAGAACCCTAAGGCGAATAAAGTGAGTTAAGGACTGATAATTGAATTTTCCCACAATGAGATAACTAGGCCTCATAATTCCACTGAATTTTACTTAGACTCGTCTTCCAAGAGGTTCTTTCATGCAGGGTAGATTTCGGTTTCGACCTGACCTGTCTCATCAGCACTTACAACAATATTAGTTAATCAAAGATATGAAGACCAAGATGGTGTGGCCTTTTGTGTGGTCGCAGTCTCCTTTCGTTGTATACTACATTAAGAATAAGCATGGTAAAAACTGTGACAGGGAAGGCATGATAGGAGGATATAGGAAATGCGAATGGCCAGGGCAGAAGGGGAGATACCATAACTGTTTAGCACACATTTGGTCAAAGGATGGGCTTCACTTGTCCCTTTGACGAGTTTGTAATATGGTACTACGAATGGCGAGACCCACTGACGATGCCGGCGAAACGTCTGGGAATGC